TCTACTCATTCTTTCTACAAATATCCATTGAGTACCTACTAAATGTGAACTCTACACTAGGTCTTGAATATAACAGTAGTGACTCAGAACTTGTCCCAGGAAGCTTGTAGTTTAGAAATGAAGACAAGCATTAAATAGGTAGTCATATGGCATTATTTTGGGCAAGGTAATGTAAGATTCTTCTTGCCATTAACACCCAAAAGTACTAGATGAAATATCATATGTTTTAAAATTCAGAGTTGAGCTCCAGGGAATCCTAAAGAGCAGGTGCTAAGCAGGAACTGAAAACCACAGAGACTGACCTGGGGAGATTTGTCCAGCTCCGTAATAGGACCTGGATTCCAAAGGAATAAGAGAGAAGCCTTTGGGCATCCATATTTAATTAAATTGCAAAGAGTGGAAATCCATGAAAACTTTTGGGAAGAATTAAGTACAGTATATAAGACTTGAGTTCTAGTACTATTTGTTCTAACACCATCTATGAAGTCATAGGCAAATCCCTTTACTCTTTTTGGCCTCTATTCCCCTTGTGTAAACTGAGAGAATTCAATTAGAATATCTGTAAACTATGTTTCAGCTCTAAAAGTTTAGGATTCTATCATAGAAGACCTCTTTAGAAATTTATTTTGGCAGCAGTGTAGATGGTTTGTTGCATTAGCTACTGATAACTGCCCCTGGGCTTGCTCTACCTCCAAAGTAATCTCTTTACTGACCACAGTAACCTTTCTTAAACAGATCTGAATTTTATCCCCCACTTGAAAATTTTGCTTTCAATGGTTTTCAAAGGCCTAGGTTTAGCAAACAAATTGTTTTCATCATCTGGCTACTTTATACTACTCTAATGTCCTCATCTAACATTTATCCATTGTAGTATAATTGTTGATTTACTTATCTTGCCTAAACACTGTCAACTCATCTTTGCAATCTAAACATCTAGCATAGGTGCTGTCACTTAGCAAGAACACCATAAATACTAAATGAATGAATAAATGCAATGAAGAAGACCTGGTAAGCTGAGGAATAGTTCTGAAGGTAAGTAATGCAGCTCTAAAGTGACATGGCACTACTAATAAACACAAGTATTAATTAGGAAATCACTGTGGAAACACAACCTATAAAACATGATCAAAGAGTGTCAACAGGCACAAGGCAGTACTATAGAATTCTAATGCTTAGATACATATTTGTTACCTATTTTAGCTTTATTTTAGATGAAGCTTAACATTGAAAAAAAAAACAAAAACCAACTCCAAGATCTGGTCTCAACGTGCTAGGGCAGACAAGTCAACCACAGATTGTGTCCATTGACTGTAACCTCACTCTTTAAGAACATGATGTGACCGTGGTTTGTTTTTTTTTAATCTTCATCAGAGGATATTTTTCCATTGCTTTTCAGAGAGAGTGGAAGAGAGAGAGAACATCGATGAGAGAGAGACACATCGACTGGTTGCTTCCCACATGCACCCTAACCAGGCCAAGCCTGCAACTGAGGTACATGCCCTTGGCTGCAATTGCACCCAGGACCCTTCAGTCAGGGGCTGATGCTCTAACCACTGAGCCAAACTGGTTAGGGTGTGACTGTGATTTTACTAGCATAAACCCAAGTGAGCCACAAACCTAAGTAGGAGAAGAGTATCCTTTGGGCACAAATAAAGGGAAAAGTCAGAATCAATTAATTATCTGTTGAATGCCTGGTATTCGCCACTAAGGAAAAGGTAGTTTTAAGTGCAACTGGATTTCCCCACTCCAAAAAGGAAGATCAACATGTTACAGAAAGTTTAGTGGAAACCGAAGCGGGTTTTGAAAGATTAATAGGATTAATTAGTATGAGGAAAACAGACAAAAGGGAATTAGGGTAGTATGTAGGCCCGGAAAAATAGGAAGTAAAACAAATCTAGATGTTATTTCTTTGGTTCCTTTTGTCAAAACCTATAGCCCAATAAAACATTCCTTGTGTATTTCCACATCCAGTCAGTCCACAATGCATGATAGTGTCAACTGACGGTCCTTGGCTTCAACACTATCAGGGATCCCCAGTTTTGGATGTGGTGAAAAAGAAAATTTTATTCAGTGCAAACAGCTCAATTGTGATACAGGAGGGCTGTGAAACAGCACAGCCATTAGAAATCCCGGAGATGAGGCCCTAGGGTGAGGCAGCCCTGGAGCCAGGTCCCTCTCAGAATAGACAGTTCTGCTCTTTGCTCCACTCTAGTGCGACATATTCATTGTTTTTCAGCTCCAGCAGGAGACACTCACTCTTTAGTTGGAAGGGGAAGTGTGAACTCCCCCAATCAGAGGGGAGCTGGCTTATATAGACAGACGTCCCTATCCCTGATCCATAATTGGTCCATCCTCATGCAAATGAGGGCTCTAATCCTCACAGCTTGATTGGTCCAAAAGATAATCTGTCCTGATTGGTCAAATGGAGCCACTCTGATTGACTGATCATGATGATGGGGATATAGCAGCTATGATTGGACAGGGAAAGTCTCAGTCCTATTGGTTAAAATGGGATTCCAGGAATTCTTTTATAAGGCCTAGCTCAGGTGGTTGAAACATAGTGCAGGAAAGCAGTTCAGTATAGGAGGCAGGCAGCTTAGTTCAGGCTTCTCCCTGAAGTGGGATTTGTGAGAGGCCCCTGTGTAGAAATGGCCGCTAGGCTCTCTGTTTTTAAGTTTGAGCCAACTTAGCCACCAGAAGTGCCTGCCTCCTATACTGAACTGCTTTCCTGCACTATGTTTCAACCACCTGAGCTAGGCCTTATAAAAGAATTCCTGGAATCCCATTTTAACCAATAGGACTGAGACTTTCCCTGTCCAATCATAGCTGCTATATCCCCATCATCATGATCAGTCAATCAGAGTGGCTCCATTTGACCAATCAGGACAGATTATCTTTTGGACCAATCAAGCTGTGAGGATTAGAGCCCTCATTTGCATGAGGATGGACCAATTATGGATCAGGGATAGGGACGTCTGTCTATATAAGNATCATCTTTTTTCAGGGTCCACAGGATAAATTATATTGCCATAGTTGAACTGAAAATCAGTATTTCTGGATGTCATTTACATGCAATATTTAATATGAGGACATGGCTAGGGTGTGGAGAGGGAGGCACCTAGGGTGCACACTTAAGGAGTAAAGACTATGACCCTGAGAGCATCTTCTTAAAATGTGCACCCCAGGTGCCTCTCTTGTCCCATCTAGGTAGGGCCTAGTCCTTTTTTTTTGTTTTTGTTTTGTTAATCCTCACCAGAGGATATTTTTTCCATTGATTTTTAGAGAGAGTGGAAAGGAGGGTGGGGGAGAGAGCAAGAGAGAGAAAGAGAGACATCGATGGGAGAGAGAAACATTGACTGGTTGCCTTCCGCACTCGCCTTGACCAAAGTGGAGTTCGAACTTGCAACCCAGGTACATGCCCTTTACCAGGAATTGAACCCTGGAACCCTCCGTTCGCAGGCCAATGCTCTAACCCACCAGCCAGGGGCTGGTTCTTCTTTAATCTATGGAATTGAGGTAGGTAGTAAGAAACTAAAAAAATTTCCTGGCAAGTAGAATGAGGAAAATGGAGACAAAATAGGCAAATGAACTGCTGAGCAATTAACAGCTAATAAATTATAAGACTCTATCCTCTTTACCAGACACAAGTAGATGGTTTACATCTCTCCTCCCCAACCAGAGTGAGTAGCTTAAATCACCCTAGCCAGGAAGATAGATATCAGAGACCCAATTAGTGCCATTAGTGGGAGCCAAACCCCAAACTGGATGAAGTCGGGGGGAAAAATTTAAAAAAAACCAAGTAGAGCCAGACAAATCCAAGATATAGATGAAGCTGACCAGAAAATGATCCCAAACTCCACTGTACGCTCATTTTGATGCACCAGCATATTAAAAAACACACCTGAAAAGCTGATGAATTTCCCCTAAAATTCCTGCCTGCAGAAAACAGATAAAAACCCTCAAGACAAGGGACCCAGCTTGTGCTCTCCTTTGAGCATGCCCAGGCCTCCCTTTCCTCAGGTTTTAATTTTAGTCTCTTCCTCCTAAACTCTGAGGGCCCTCCCTCCTCTTGCCTAACTCTTTAGAGAGCCCAAAGCAGCCCGGCCTTGGCTCACTTGTTACTGTGATCTTGCTTCTTCTATCTTAAGCCCTTCCTTTGTTTCACTGCCCCCAACTATAAAAAACACACTCTCAAAATCACCTGGACTGTCTTGAATTCCTTCCCACAAGTAGTCAAGAACTCACACATCCCAGACGGTGCTAGGGCAGATCCGCCTAGGCCAGGTCCAGTCCCTTTCCCGTGACAGAATAAGGGCTCCCAAGGGCCTCTGGGGTCTTGACTGTGAGTCTTTGCAAGTCTCACAGGCATTTAAACCAGTCATTCCATACAAACCCTGCGCAGTTGTAAAGTGGACATTTGTTCAAGAGGTTGCAGAGTCAAGTACTGTCATAACAAGTTCGTTGTGATGTGACCGGTATTGCCTCCGGTATTGCCACCAAAACCAAAACACTGGCCCAATACGTCCAGGAAACGCCACACCCTAGGGCAACTGGTAACGTCCCAAGTGCCAAAGATAGGTAAGCAGAGATTTTCCCTTTAACAGAGGGGTACCTGCCTTCCCTCGGAAAACTCAGCGGCCCAAAGTGTGCAAGTAACGCGTTGGGTGTGCAACCGGGGAAAGGAAAGCGCCGCCTCAAACAATAAGCACAGCCACAGGTCAGCGGCCAGGACTTCGCGCCCTCCCGAATCGCGGGTTCCGGGAGGCGCCAGGTGGGTCCTCAGGCTGTCGGTGTCCGCGCTCTGCCGGCCCTCAGCCACCGTGAAAACTCGAGCCTGCGAGGGAGGGGACGCCGCTGGCCCTCGCAGGACTCAGAGAGCCGCTGTGCTGAGAAAGCCCGAGGTGTTGGCACACAGCAGACAGGCAGCTCCGCGGGCAGCCCGCTCGTCCGAGGACCCCGGCGGCGGCGCGGCCGGGCGGGAACCGGGGACTTTCAAAGTGGAGCCGTGGAGCCCTTTGCCGCCGCTCGGGTGAGATGAGGCTGCACTGCGACGTCGAGGTGGTCAGTCGGCACTTGCCGGCCTTGGGGCTGAGGAACCGGGGCAAGGGCGTCCGCGCGGTGTTGAGCCTCTGCCAGCAGGCCCCCCAGAGTCACCCGCGGCCTCTGGCCCGGGGCGAGCGGGGCGGCCCGCAGCCCGCCTGCCTGCTGGTTTCTACCCTGAAGGACAAGCGCGGGACCCGCTATGAGGTGCGTGGAGCCAGCAGGCAGTTCCAGGGAGTCAGCACGGGCCACTTCCCCGGCCGAGAGGCGGGCCGCCCTGGGGCCTGGCGCACCCCGCCGTTCCCGAGGCTGGAGTTGGTCTTGGGGTTCGTGAGCGCCGGTGCCCGAACCCTACCCCCACTCCCGTTTCCGGGGCTCTTCCCCAGGGCCCGAAGGAGGCGAGCTTTTGAGAATAACTTTCTGGTTATTCTCTTGTTCATTTCTGCGACTTCGAATTGAGAGTAGTAATCCAGTTTGGGGGAACAGTAACATAACTGCATTTTCGTTCAATAAATTCTGTTTCTTCCACAGAATTTTCTGTAGCTTTTTTTTTTTTTTTAAGGCTTTAAGCGCCTGTCCCGCTGGCTAAGCGGTTGAGCGTGGACCTATGGAGGTCGGTCTGAGTACATGCCGGGTTGCAGGCTCGATCCCGAGTAGGTGTCCAGGAGGCAGCCAATCAATGACTCTCTCATCATTGATGTTCTTTCTCTCTCTCCCTTCCTCTCTCTGAAATCAATAAAGGCATTTAAAATATATATATTATTAAACAAAAAAGGATTTAAGGGATGATGAATCGTAGCTAAGGTCTCTAGACCAGATCAGGACAGTAGTAAAGCAGTAACACTTTGCGTTGCATCTTGATATTTTTTTATTAAAGTTGTTGGTTACAACATCTATCTCTTTTTTTGCTCCTTAAATGTGTAATTTCCTAAGACCTGGTTTCTTAGGACCAGGGCTTTTTCATCTGCATAGCAGTGGTAAACTCTTTAGAAGCAGCTGGAAGTTGAAATAGAATTTTTAAAGCACAGGTTTTATAAAATCTTTTCCCCTTCATTACCAGACACTGTTATTTTGACAAAATGACTGGACTACCCTGTGTCTATAAATAAACCTGAGGAGACAATTTATTGCCCACCGTTGTATCTGACTCTTTGATTGGATTTTATACAATTTCTGGGATTATTTTCCTTACAGTGTTGTACTCCACTGAATATTTAGTTGAGGAAGGGGGTATTACAGTCTCATTCAGAGACACCTGGTGTTTGGTGTAAGTAGTTAAAAGTCTAATTTCCCCCTGTTGATGTAATCATCTCATATAATTTTTCAAATCGAAAGGATTTTAGAAATCACCCAACATTTTAAAGGTTACAAAACTGTTAGGTGACAAAAGCAAACTCATAACTAGAATTGGATCTCCCCCAGACCTCTCTTTCATGCCTAGCTCAGGTACTCCCTATTTAAAAAGCATGTGATGATGTCTCTTAAAACTCCTATTGTGCCCCAGCTGGTGTGGCTCAGCTGGTTGAGCATCATCCTATACACCAAAAGGTTGCTGGTTTGATTCCTGGTCAGGACACATGCCCAGGTTGTGGGTTTGGTCCCCATTTGGGGTATGTAGATGTTTCTCCTCCCTTCCTCTCTAAAATCAATAAAAAATTTTTTAAAAAAACCTCCTATTGCACTAATAGTCAATTGCAGGTGGTAATCCTAATCAAAATTTTATTGTGAACCACTAAATGAAGACTTACTCTGCACAGGGTGCAGTGCTAGAAACTGGGAGATAAACTTGATTTAGTCACTGTCCTGAGACTAGAAAGGGAGAAACAGAAACCACTACTTACAATACAAGATGGGCTATGATAAGTGCTATAAGAAAAGTGAAAGCAACAGCATGAATTCTGGTTACTGGGGCTTGAGAATATTTTGTAGAAGAGGTACCAAAGGGCTTGGAAAATCATGGTGCTCAGTATACATTTTATGGATGAATTAAGGTGGTTCTGGTGTTGGTCCTGGGCCTTGAAGAGTAAGTATTTGTGCTAAGTATGGGAAGTACCGTGGGCCTCTTTCTGATACCTACTTTCTGTCGCATGACTTCAGCTACCATCTGACTGATTTCCAAATCTGTATCTATAGCTGGCCGCCTCCCTTAATTTCTTTTTTGAAATTATTGTTCTATTTTATTATTAGTTATTGTTACTCTCTCACTGTTCCAAATAGAGAACTTAATCATAGGTATACATGTATGGGAAAAAACATAGTATATATAGAGTTTGCCACTCTCTGTGGTTCCAGTTATCCACTGGGCACCTTGGAATGTATCTCCCCCTTGGGTAAGGGGGGACAGCTGTATCTTAGAATTGTATGTGTGTATCTGTGTGTGAGATGTTTCATGCCACTGTGGCACACTTTTTTCATATCACTTCTTTTTTCACTTTAAAAAATGCTGAACAACATATAGCTTTTTTTCACAGAAATAGTCATGACTCATCTAACTTATTGGTGGAGGGCAGCAAATTGGTGGTCATCAGAGGGAACAGATCTTAGAAGAGCAGTGAGAAACACATTTTTCATCTTATCCAGATAAATGTATAAATCTTTTAACTTCTCACTTGAATCTGCTATCTACTGGAAATCTTCACTTGGATGTGTTGCAACATTTCATCCTCAAAATACCTAAACATTAATTGTCCTTTTCACCCATAAACCTGCTTTTCTGACAGTGTTCTGCAACTCATTATTAGTGTTCTGCTCCACCCAGAAAACTTAAAGCCTTTGCCTCTCCACATCTAATATATTATTGAATCTTTCAATTCTACCTCCTAGATATTTTTCAAATTTTCATCCATCCCAGTTGTAGTCTAAATCATCATTATTCCTTGCCTGGCTAGTCTCTTAAAGGACCTCTCTACCTCTACTGTTGTCCTTCCCTCAGCCCCTCCCCCTGCCAAAGTTCATTCTTTGTGGTTAAAGGCAACTTTTTAAAGTGAGAGAGAGAATGATTTGTTATTCCACTTATCTGCATTCATTGGTTGATTCTTATATTTTCCCTCACTGGAGATTGATCTCACAACCTGGTGTATCAGGATGATGCTCTAACCAACTGAGCTACTGGCTAGGACCAAAATCCAAAATTCTTGCTCTGGCTGGTGTCACTCAGTGGTTAGACCTTCAACCCGAGCACCAAAGGGTCTCGGGTTTGATTCCCAGTCAAGGGCACATACCTGGGTTGCAGGTTCGATCCCAGCCCCAGTCGGGGCACATGCAGGAGGCAGCCAATTGATGTGCCTATCTCACATCAATGTTTTTCTTTCTCTCTCTCCTCTCCCTCCCTCCTTCCTACTCTCTAAAAATCAATGGAAAAAAATCCTCGAGTGAGAATTAACAAAAACCAACAACAAAAAATTCGTAACATGATTTAAAAATTTTTCAACATCTAATCTCTACCTCTTTAGGCTCACTTAGCTTTTTTCACAGGATCCTTCAGCCATACTGAACTACTTTCAGCTCTTCACAGCTGCCAAGCTCCCTTTATTTCAAGGCTTTGCACATTGCTCCCTCTTATTGGTATGCTATCTTCTCTCTCTTCTAGACATGTCCTAATCTTTTTTTTTTAATATGTTTTTATTGATTTCAGAGAGAGGAAGGGAGAGGGAGAGAGATAGAAATATCAGTGATGAGAGAGTCATTGATCGACTGCCTCCTGCACACCCTCCACTGGGGATGGAGCCGGCAACCTGGGCACGTGCCTGGCCAGGAGTCAAACCACGATCTCCTGGATCGCAGGTCGATGCTCAACCGCTGAGCCTCACCAGGCAATATGTCCTAATCTTTAGTTCTGACCTTCAAGGTAACCTTCATATCCCAAGCCCAGGTAAGATTTCTTTGCTATACAAGGTTTTATAGCAGCCTGTACTTCCTTTTCTTAATAGTTGTTATGCTTATAATTACTTTAATAACTGTCAGATTGGCAACTGTTTAAGTGTGATTACCATGCTGGTCTTATTCACCACTATTGTCCCAAGTGCCCTATCATAGTTAACCTGGTACATAATGGCTTGATAAACTGTTGTTGAATTCTAAAGCAGAAGCAACTTCAGCCATTAAAATTTTTGAGCACCTATTATGTGTCAGTCATTGGCTCTGGGGATACAAGAATGAACAAAGGAGACAAGATNTTAGGTGTCAGTCATTGGCTCTGGGGATACAAGAATGAACAAAGGAGACAAGATTCATTTCTGTTTTCATGGAGTTTGTAATCTTGTAGGAGGCATACCCACCCCAGACTAATGGACTGAAATTTAAAAGGCAAGTAACTACTATCAGCAACTCACTACAGCCACATAGTTGGAATGGGAGAAGGGGAACATTCTCCCAAAACACGGGATTCTGTTCTCAGAGGAGGAAAGACTTAACTGGACAGACAGAACAATAATATCTACCTTCTGGTAGATAAGAAATGTAGCTACCCAAGTACTAAAAACGAACCCAACCAAAAAAAAAACTTTAAAACCTAAAACTGCAAAACACCCAGACTTAAGGACTGAAAGACAAACCAGAGCCTGGCAAAGTGATTGGCACATTCTACTTGTAATAACTATTAAGTAACAATACTTGATTTTATTCTTTTTTTCCATTGGTTTTAAGCAGCTGAAGGGGAACATTGAGCAATTCTTCACCAAATTTGTGGATGAGGGAAAAGCCACAGTTCGGTTAAAGGAGCCTCCTGTGGATATCTGTCTAAGTAAGGTATGATATTAAAAACAATGACTAGGTTGGTTGGCTGTATTTTCTTTAAATAAAAGGCTATTTGCCCTAGCCAATTTGGCTCAGTGGTTAGGGCGTCAGCCCATGGACTGAAGGGTCCCAGGTTCGATTTGGGCCAAGAGCACGTACCTCTGTTGCAGGCTCCATTCCCAGCCCCGGTAGGGGCGCATGCGGGAGGCAGTCAATGTGTCTCTCTCACTTAAATGTTTCTTTCTCTCCCCCCACCCCCCCACTCTCTCTGAAAAAGCAATGGAAAAAATATCCTCAGATGAGGATTAAAAATAAATAAGAGGCTATTTGAGCATCCTGGTATCTCACATTGCTGAATAGAGATGGACTCTTGCAGATGTGTTTGAAGAAGTGATGGCACTTTCCCAGGAGGGCTTATAGTGGTCTAAACGTGCAGAGTCGACCTTGTAAGGCTGCCCAGAATGGGGAGGAAAACTAAGTTTGCTTCTGTGCCCAAAGTGGAGCCTTAGGGTGTTCTTACACTGGAACTCAGTGGCATGTGGCATAGGTCTACATTTTTCCAGTTGAATTATAGGTTACAAATCTAAGTTTAGTGTAAAAGGGGGATAAAATGCAATTAGAACCTTGTTTGGCATATTTTATTACTATTATTATTTTTAAAACTACATAAGCCATTAGAATTAAGAAAATTGTTTCTTTGCCCTATCTCCCCTTTATTGTTTCCCCTCTTCCTAGAGGGTAGAAGCAATGTCTTCTTCAACCTTGCATTATCCTTAACCCCAAGCAAAGTGCTTTGCAAACATTAAAAGTTTAATAACTTTTTAAGGTATTTGTATTGAATGGAGTCATTTTGTCTTACTTCCTCCTGTTCTTGTGATTTTTCATTTTCTCTTGATGTTCACCCTATCCTTCCACTACTTTCTTCTACCTAAAAACAAGCTTAGGTCTTAACAATTAAAAAAATAGGATAAAAAATTTCTGGAAAGACAAGGCTAAATCCATTGCCTCCACTTTCTTGTGATCTGTTTTGACCTTTACTTTCTCTGGTGTATTCAAAACATTGCCTTGTTAGGTCATTGATCTCCTTTCTATTTGCCAATCACATTGCCAATTTTTTCTCTTTTTTTTTTTGAACTGAGGAATTTGACACTAATGTCCACTCCCTTAATAAAACTTTCCTTTCTTGGCATCTGTGAAGGGCACTGTCCTGATTTACCTTTGGTTTTTGCAGCCACTTCTTTGTCTCCTATCTCTGGCAACCTTTTTCTATCCCCCAAATAAAAGCTTTATTCAAGTTTTCTGCCATACCTGCCTTTCATTCCCATAGCCCAACCCGAATTGTATGTAACTCCCAAGTCTGTAAGTTTGTACCCTCTACTGGACCTACTTGGCCCAGGTCTCCAGATTTTCCTCACTCCGTTTCACTGTGTATACTACTGCCAAAATAATACTTAGCTCTGTGTAATTCTCATGCTCAGAATGCTTCAGTAATTGCCCACGGCCTGATCATTCTGTTCTCCTTACCTTGACATCAGGCTCATCTATAATCTATTCCCATACTGTATTTCTCATCTTTTACTCTTCTACCAAGCTCCCACATTCCAACCAAATAGGATCACATACTCCATTTCCCACAATTCCTGAAAGTTCACTATTCTTCACATAAACTTTAGGAAACTTCTAAAATATCCTGCCAAGTATTAGTTATTTTTATTGATGACTTAGTTCACATACCACTTGATTAGTGATTTCTCTGTTCAGCTGGAAGCAATTTCACTTGCCTTTGATGTTTTCTTGCACTGTTGATAGTGCCATTTAGCCCTACTTTTGACAGGGCCATGGCTTTTCACAACTCCTAATCTTTATGAATGGAACCCCTGGACATTTTACAGTGCACAGGGCTGTCTGAAGGCTTGGTTGAGTTCATCTTAAACCCAAATCTCAGATGGAATCTTTTCATGCCTTCCTATTTTATTTTATACTCTGGTTCCCCTTTGAACAGTTTTATTTAGAGTGTGTCTCTGAACACTTTAGGAAAAAAACTTTTTTTTTAATCCTCACCTGAGGATATTTTTTTCCCATTGCTTTTCAGAGAGAGTGGAAAGGAGGGAAGGTGTGTGTAGGGGGGGAGAGAGAGAGAGTCAGAGTCGATGTGAGAGAGACCCAGTGGTTGCCTCCCACATGTGGCCTGACCAGTGCCCGGGATGGAGCTGCAACTGAGGTACGTACCCTTGGCTGAGATCAAACCCGGGACCCTTCAGTCTGCAGGCCAATGCTCAAACCACTGAGCAAACTGGCTAGGGCTAGAAAAAAACATTTAAAGTTTTTTGTATCTATATTGAAATTTAGTTAACATGGAATACTAAAAAAATTATTTTTACAGCCATTTTCAGTAAATGATTGCATCATTTGTATATATAACTCTTTACAGAATTTGTTATAGGATGAATTAGCATACATGCATTATCTAAAATGGAATTTATAATTGTACAACTTATTTTTATTTATTTAGGCCAATTCCAGCAGTTTAAAGAGTTTCCTTTCAGCTGTGAGACTGGCTCATAGAGGCTGTGATATTGAGACACCACTTTCACCCCTCACACCTGTGAAGACTTCAGAATTTGAAAAATTTAAAACTAAAATGGTTATCACATCCAAAAAGGACTATCCTCTAAGCAAGAATTTCCCATATTATCTGGAACATCTTCAGACTTCTTATTGTGGGCTTGTCCGAATTGATATGCGTATGCTTTGCTTAAAAAACCTTAAGAAATTAGACTTGAGTCACAACCACATAAAAAAGCTTCCAGCTACAATTGGAGACCTCATCTACCTTCAAGAACTTAACCTGAATGACAATCTCTTGGAGTCATTTAGTGTAGCATTGTGTCAATCTACACTCCAGAAATCACTTCGGAGTTTGGATCTCAGCAAGAACAAAATTAAGGCACTTCCTGTGCAGTTTTGCCAGCTCCGAGAACTTACAGATTTAAAACTTGATGATAATGAATTGATTCGATTTCCTTTCAAGATAGGACAGTTGACAAACCTTCGATCTTTGTCAGCAGCTCGAAATAAGCTTCCATTTTTGCCTAGTGAATTTAAAAATTTATCCCTTGAGTACTTGGATCTTTTTGGAAATATTTTTGAACAGCCAAAAGTCCTTCCAGTTATAATGCTGCAAACACCATTAACTTTATTGGAATCTTCTGCACGAACCATATTATATAATAGGTAAGACTTTAGTATTCATGAAATGTGGTACTTTTGATAGCATCCTAGTGTTCTCATCATCCTTAAACTAATAGTAAGCCTTTAACCATAGCTCTGCATAATCTGACCCCTTGCTATGGTGGCCTTGCTGCTCCTTACCTCTGCTTGGAATGCTTTTCCTCCAGCAAGTTTCATAGCTCACTTTCTCACTTCAGTTGTCTGCCCAAATTGCCCCCCCCCCCTTTTTTTTTTTTTTTTTTTATAGGGATCTTTCTAATTTCCATGTCAATGCACAGAATTTGGGTTTTGCATTTTTGGATGATTGATTAAGCAGCAGAAAAACTTTGAAGCCACAGGAGGCTCCNCCCCCCTTTTTTTTTTTTTGGTCATAGGATGTATTACCTGGCATTACTTTTTTTTTTTTTTAACATTTGTTTTCTGTCAGTTTTCCCTACTAGACTGTAAGATCTATGAAGGCATGGACTTTGTCTTATTCTCCATTTCCCTAGTGTCTAAAATTTGATATCCCCTGCTGTTGCCATGTGTTAGGCACTTAATAAATACTGGAATGAATGACATTGTTTTTCAAACTATGATTCCCTGACCAGCAGCATCAGTATCAGGTAGGAACTTAGAGATGCAAGTTCTTGAACTCTACTCCAGACTTACTGAATAAGAAACTCTGAAGGGGAGACCAGCTATCTGTCTATTAATAAGTCCTATGGGTAGTTCTGATGTACTCTAAAAGTTTAAGAACTCCAATCTGGCATAGTGGGAAAGTGTGGACTTTGGAGTCAGACTTGGGTTTGATTCCTGGCTTCAGCCCTTAGTATGGCTTTAGCAAATTATTTAAACTCTTTGATTCAATGTTCCCATCTCTGAAACAGGAACAGAGTTGTGAAGATAAATGAGCTAATGTAATGCTAAAGCATTTGTCACAGAGTAGGACTCAACAGCTGTTGGTTCTCTTCCCTTTGTCTTTGTACACTAACTGAAGTTGGTTTTGTGAGACACGAAACACCAGGTATTCATTTTTGTTCATGCTTCTTTCATTATTGAGTGCCTATAAAATAGCAAGACCATATTGCAAAGAAAAGATTCTTAACTTTTTTTTACTGAGGGAGAGGTTTTTAAAAAATAAAAACTGCCCCAGCTGGTGTGGCTCAGTTGGTTGGGCATTGTCCCATGCACTGACGGGTTGCTGGTTTGATTCCGGGTCAGGGCACATGCTGGGGTTGTGTGTTCGATTCCCAGTTGGCTACCCATGTTCCGCTTTCACATCAATGTTTCTCTCCCTCTCCCTTCCTCTCTCTAAAAATCAATTAAAAATATTTAAAAAATAAAAACAACTAATCAAAATTATGATCATATAACTTTCTTTTCCATATTAAATTTCTTTAAAGAAATTGGTGCTTGTTATGATCATACAACTTTGCATACAACTTTAAAATGTTCATGGGCCCCGCTGAAATCCAATCCAACCCTTCCTTCTCACAATCCATACCTTAAGAATTCTTATTTTAAAGTAGTGGTTTTCAAACGTTATTTCACATTTGGAATCACCTGAGGAACTTTTAAAAATTCTGATGATTAATTCCCACCCTAGACTTACTAAATCAGAATGTCTGAGAGTAGGACCCAGTTTTCTCTTAAAACCCCAGGTGATTCTTTGTACAGCTAGCTATGATTAAGAACCAGTACTTCACACCAGTGCTTCTCAAACTTGAATGCTCATTCAAATCATCTGGGAGTCTTGCTAGCCAATTGTTTCTGAGGTCTAGGGTGGAGTTCCTGCATATCATGCAATCTTTCTGGTGAGGCTGAGGCTACTAATCCATGAATCACACTTTGAATACTAAGTCTCTAAAAGTAACTAAGGGCTCACTGTTTTTTTTAAGATTCTTAAATTTTGAGAGTGCATCAGAATCATGCTTATTGAAATAAGTAGTTATTAAAGCTGGGTTCTTTTTTTTTTTTAAGTTTTAAAATTGATTTTTAGAAATAGGAAGGAAAAGGGAGAGAGAGGGAAACATCAATGTGAGAGTGAAACATCTTTCTGCTGCCTCTAGCACGCCCCATACCAGGGATTGAACCCACAACTGGCAACCTTTCCGTGCACAGGAAGACACCTAACTAACTGAGCCACACCTGTCAGGGCAGATTGCTGGATTCTTATTCACTAAATTTGGAGTGGGGCTGAAGAAATTTCATCTCTAACTAGTTCTAAGGAGATGCTGATGCTGCTCGTCAGGGACCACACTTTGAGAACCACTAGTTTAAGGCATTGACCCTTAATTAGGAATTAAAAATTACCTCCTAAGTGACAATACATGTAAGTCCCTAGAACAGTACCTGGCTCATAATAGGACTCAGTAAATATTTAACATTTACATATATTTATTATAATAAATATGTGAAATTTGCCTATCTAGCAATTAAAAATTAATGTTATCATTAGCTGTAGAGGAACTTTTAAATAATAGAGATGAGAAATATAGATGCTTAGATCCTACCTCAGACCAACTAGTTCAGAGTCACCAGAGAAGGACCGCTAGTGTATGTTACATATTTTTTAAATCTCCAGAGGTGATACTGATGATTCAGAGTTAAGACCACTGATTTGAAGGAACTCTAAATGGTGTCTATTGGTAGAGTTGCTCCCCAGCTTGTTCTAGGCTTTCTCTGAGATTGTGTGTGTGTGTGTGTGTGTATTTTACTCAAATTTGAAAATTATGTCCAAATGAGAAATATTACAGATAATTTCCAGTTCTGTTTGAAGATCATAACCAATTGGCTAATTGATTTTAAAAAATGCAGATTGACATCCAACATGGAAAAGTGCAGAGTTGGAAGGGAAAAACAGATGATCAAAATGCCATGTAATAGGTCAGAAAAATAATTTATTAGTGCTGAATAATTTAACATTGTAGTATTTAAATTGTTTTTTAAACTTGACCTCTATTAATATTGATTCTTGTAAAGTGACCCTAACTGTTACTAATAATATTGCATGTTATTAGCCCTTTAATAAGAATATAAACCCAAAGCTATGAGAATAATACCTATTATCTATCTGTTAAGTTGTTCTAACTACTGGGTATAAATATAAACTTAAAATCTATTAGGAAAATACGTGGAAATTTAAATTATATTAGATTGATGACATAGTTTTTAACTGTTATCTCTTTCCTTAGACTGTAACCAATAGCTTGGAAGAAATTAATGTAAATATGTGGTATACACTTCCTGACACAGTTTTTAAAAAATTCTTACTTATACAAGCAATGAATAAGTACATGTGAAAAAATGAAAAATTGCAAACAAGGCCAATTGCAAATCCCTTATGAGAAGTAAACCACTATTTTTTGTTTTATTTGTGTCTTTTTAGGTTTTTCTAAAAGAGTTTTGGTAGTTTTAAAAAATATATATCTTTATTGATTTCAGAGAGAGGAAAGGGAGAGGGAGAAGGAGAGATAGAAACATCAGTGATAAGAGAGTCGTCATTGATCGGCTGCCTCCTGCACACTCCCAACTGGGGATCGAGCCTGCAGTGGGGGCATGTGCCCTGACCAGGAATCGAACCCTGATCCCCTGGATCCTAGGTCAGTGCTCAACTGCTGAGCCATGCCCAGCAGGGCTAAAAAGGGAGTAGGTTTTATTTATTTTTTGAAAAAGATCTGAACACCTAATGTGTGCCAGCATATAGAAACAACAGTGTATAGGAGACTAAATGCCTGGAGCATGGTTGTATTTAGGGGGAAGAAGCTGGGCAGTGGGCAGGCAATCTCAAGAGACTGTCTCTTAGTTTTGTGTAGATGAGGGCAACAACTTGATTTTAATTGCATTGGGTACCACTAAAATTTTAAGCAGGAGAGTGAATAATTTAAGTGAGGTGAGGGCAGCCTTACTTGCTAAGCCAGTAAAGTAAAACTAATGCCCCAAACAACGTGTTTTAAATGTTTCACAGAGTTTAAAATTTCCTTTTGAATATTGATGCCTAGGAGAGTATGTAGTTTTATTTAAATATTTCTTTATTGGTAGAACTCCTTAATTTTCCATTACCATCATGAGAATTGTATGACAGAGCTATATATTTAACTTACCATGTTAAACTGGTCATATATAATTATATAAAGGACAGGTGACTCATTCTATTTGGGGGTTATGCTATTAAGTGGCAATGCTAAAAGATAATTTATGGAGTGGTATAGATCTTTGGTTTACAACATATCATATGCTGTTTTTTGGAATATTTTCCCCATTACCCAGTTTGTAAGAGAAAACAATATACTGTACCATTTAATTAATAGAATTTTATTTTTTCATGGTTATAATTTAATGTTCAATAATTCATATCCTAACATGAAATTCTGAATCTAGTAACATATTTTAAAATGTTTTTAAAACATTTTTTTCCAATAGGATTCCATATGGCTCTCATATCATTCCTTTCCATCTTTGCCAAGATTTGGATACTGCAAAAACCTGTGTTTGTGGAAGATTCTGTCTAAGCTCTTTTATTCAGGGAACAACTACCATGAATCTACACTCTGTTGCTCATACTGTGGTCTTAGTAGATAATATGGGTGGCACTGAAGCACCTGTTATCTCGTATTTCTGTTCTCTATCCTGTTATGTAAATTCCTGTGATATGTTAAAGTAATAGATAATATCACAAAAAGAAATTCTGTTTACTTACAGATCAGTTTGGGATACATTTATGGTTTAACAGTGTTAAATTGGAGAAAGGAAAGCTTTTTTGGTATACCCTTTTTTCAATAATTTGACTGTAAAATCTTAATTTCATTAAAAGCTAATTAATTTTATTGTGGGGTTAACTTTTATGTTTATTGCACTTGTGTTGATTTCATTCTAGTGTTTCCAGACTATACTGTGGGGTTATCTTTTTTTTTTTTTTTTTTTTTAAGTTTTTTTTTTTTTTTAGAGAGAGGGGGGGGGGGGGGGGGGGGGGGGGAGNATTGATTTCAGAGAGTAGGGGAGAGGGAGAGAGAGAAAGAAACATCAGTGATGAGAATCATTGATCGGCTTCCTCCTGCACGCCCCCTACTGGGGATCGAGCCTGCAACCTGGGCATGTGCCCTGACTAGGAATCGAACCTCGATCTTCTGGATCATAGGTCAGTGCTCAACCAGTGAGCCATGCCGGCCAGGCTGTGGGGTTACCTTTTAATGTTAAGCAGGCAGTGATCCCAGTCACTCTGGTCATAGAATTTTATCAACTTTGTTCTTTCATTTCAATGAAAGAAATTGAGTTCTTGTATGCAGAAAGTGTTCCTTAGAGAATTAATATGGTCTAAGTTATAGTGAAACTTATTTGGCATGAATTGCACTTTTTACCTTTTGTGTTTTTAGGTGTATTATTGTACATATGGAATTTTACATTCACTGAGCATAAAGTAGGAGTTGCTTTGGGAAAGACTTCAGCTTTTATAAGTTTTATAATGTTACATAATCTTTGTTGTATTTCTAAGTTTTCATTATTTTTAGGGTTTGAACAAGGTTTTGGTTGGGTAAGAGGAGCAGGAAGTGCTACTTTTTACTGACATTCTGTATTATTTGAGGGTTTTCTGTTTGTTTTGTTTTTAAATATATCTTTATTGATTTCAGAGAGAGGAAAGGAGAGGGAGAGAGAGAGAGAAACATCAATGATGAGAGAGTCATTGATCATCTGCCTCCTGCACCCCGACCGGGGATCGAGCCCGCAACCCGGGCATATGCCCTGACTGGGAATCAAACCCCAATCGCCTGGATCCTAGGTCGACGCTCAACTGCTGAGCCACGCCTGGCCGGGCATCTTTTTCTGTTTATTATTTTAGTCACTTAATATGTTTAAGTTTTTAAAATGTAAATAGTGGCAATACAACAGCTGAAGGATAAGAAGGTTTGAACTAGAACAGAGAGAATAGAAAAGGAACCAACATGAAACAATCTGGAAAATGGTATCAGTAGAACTGTTTGTTCTGTTCATTCCCCTGTCCTTAGATCAGCCTCTTTCCTAGATCATTGTAATAGTCTCATAACTGGTTTCCCGGAACAAAGGAGAGTAAAGAGCAAAAGTTACTGGAGAAAATCCTCTCCAGTGTTTGTATATTATTGCTGCTTTGGGCTTGCAGTTAGAGGTGGAGTCTATATAAGGTTATTTCTTTTGACTTACCTAACCTCCTTTGTCTTCCTATTTATTTGGGGTATTTTTTTTCTGAAAATACAAATATTCTTGAGCAAATACTGTTTTAAATTTTTATTAAAACTTTATGTATATGTACTCAGAGCTGATTCTTTGAGAGACAAGGCATTGGTCCAGTAATTCTTTGGGTGACCTTAAATTTTTATTGCTATTGATTAAATTCTTCCTGCAAAATCTCTATATATTATTTCTGTGTTTTTATTTTTATTTTTATTTTTTAAATTTTTTTTAAAACATATCTTTATTGATTTCAGAGAGAGGAAAGGAGGGGGAGAGGGAGAGATAGAAACATCAATGATGAGAGAATCATTGATCAGCTGCAGCCCGCAATCCGGGCATGTGCCCTGACCGAGAATTGAACCCCCATCTCCTGGATCCTAGGTCAATGCTCAACCGCTGAGCCACACCCGGCCGGGCTATGTTTTTATTTTTAAAAATTATATATAATGCAAACATGCCTTAAATTTAAAAAGCTGCAATTTATCTGGTACCACTTTGTTCCAGGAGTTTTATAGATAGTATTTTATTTAATCCTCACAAAGCACCCTAGGAGGGAGGTACCATGAACCCAGATCAGAGATTTTAGGCCCAAGCTTCATACTGCCTTCTAAAGTTAATTCACTTTAGTGTCTAAAACCAAGAGTTCTGTAATTAAGTATCTTAGGATTTCTCAACTCATAAATTGGTGAGTGATTGCCCATCAATATAAAACCAGATTAAAACATGGTTCTTTAGCCCTAACTGGGTGGCTCAGCTGGAGCATCATCCTGTACACCAAAAGGTGGCAGGTTTGATTCCCAGTCAGGGTACATACCTAGGTTGCTAGTTTGACCTCTGGTCAGGTTGCGTTTGGGAGACAATAGCAATGCTTCTTTCTCACTTCCTCTCTCTCTAAAATCAATAAAAACATATCCTCAGGTGAGGATTTTTTAAAAAATGGTTCTTTAAGGTGATGTTTTATGGCATATTTAAAATTTGTGCATATCTGATTTTTATGTTCTTGTAGAAAAAATTTTTTCATTAACAAATGCAGATATAATAGTCAGTGTTGGGAATAAGTGCTAACCATCTGCTACTCTTGCATCTTACCCTTTGCCTGTCTTCCTCATGTACAAACCATCCCATGTAAATACTGTAGCTGACTTAAAATTCTGATACAAAAATAGAATTTCTTGTCCTCTTCTCGTAACCCTTATTCTTTCCGTTTTTCCTTTCATTTGATACTCAACTTGTTTCTAACTTGCCTTTCATAGGTAATGGCTAGGCTCACTTTGAGTTTCCACCTTCCATTCTATTTTCAATCATAACTGCTTATCTCCCCAACCTACCCAACGATCAAGAAGTTATAACATTTGAGTACTTCTGAGAGTACGTAGTCCGCCCTTATCTGCAGTTTTAGTTACTTGTGGTCAGTAGAGATCTGAAAATATTAAATGGAAAAGTTCCAGAAATCAGTTTTAAAATTGTGCGCCATTCCAAGTAGCATAGCTATTAATTACGAGACCATATTCACATAACTTTTATTATGGTATGCTATAAAAACAAAAGTTCACATTATCATGGACTTACAGCTTTTTTTAAAAATTAACTTCAGAATTTTAGGTAGAAGTCAATTTTCAACTCCTACCTTATTCAACACCATGTTCTAAAACAGTGCTGTCCAAAAACTGATGGGAATTGTTCCTTATCCATGTTTTCCAGTAGTGTAGCCACTAACCATATATGGTTGAGGACTAAATGTAGCCAGTATAAATGAGGACCTGCCTACCTCTTAAATTTAAGTAACTATATGTGGCTAGTGGTCCTTATTAGTGCATTTGCAAAAACTGCTTTTTATCCCCCAACTTGGATCTTCTGCCCCGCTCAGTCTGCTATACACAGGCTTAGCTCGTCCTCTTTTTCAAAATCTGAGAGCTTTCCCAGAAGCTCACCAATCATGATTGTGAATTTACCCAACATATATTTGAAACTGATCAGGAAAAAAGTAAAGTATCAATATTTTCCCTATGTAATTTATCTGTGAAACCTAGCTGTAAAATTTGAGATGGGACTCTTGTCTTCTTTATATATAAATACAAAATTCCAATTCTTGTGGAACTAAGTTTAATAATTTGAGAAGAGGATTCACTTACAAATAATTTACTTATTTCCTTAATTTACAACCACATTAAGCATGCAGTTCTGTTTGTATTTCAAAAAAACCACAAAAGATATGAGTAAGAATATCACTGCATTTATTTTCATGCAGGTAATTTTTGTACAGCTTCAACATTTTCTTCTCAAAATAAAAGAATCCCAAAGCTTAGAACTGGATCACTTGGCCCTTTCTCTTCTTATCTCCTCCCAGTTCAAAATGCTTGCATCTCTTAATGGCCAGCATCCTCTTGGATCTGCAGTTAGGCTCAACACATTCAAGCCTCAGCACAATCTTCTTTGTGGTTTTAGCCTTCTTTCGGAAAATCGGCTTTGTCTGCCCACCGTAGCCACTCTGCTTCCTATCATAGCGCCTCTTTCCCTGGGCATACAAGGAATCCTTGCCCTTCTTATACTGGGTGACTTTGTGAGGCTGATGCTTTCCACACTTCTTACAGAAAGTCCTCCGGGTTTTAGGCACATTGACCATCTTGGCAGTAGAGCTGTCGACACAATGAAAACTGTGTTAAGATATTTAAAATACAATAGATGTTAAACATTTGAAAAGTACTTTATAAGTATTTATAGGAAAATGACATTACATAAATCAGTAATGTATAAATCCACCAATTACTCATTTTACATGAGTAAACGCACATATAAGTGCACACCTTTTTGGAATGCTTAAATCATTGGAGCACTTCTAGAATGAGACTAAAATATAGCGAGAGCAGCAGCACAGGGTTCCGTGTATAAAGTAGGGGCTTAATTTAATGTGGTTGCTCAAAAGAAAAGCGCAATGGTGTTTAATTTCCTTCCGCAGAGAGAACCAAGGCTGGAGTTTCTTTTCGCCTGCTCCTCGCACCCTCTACCACGTTCTAGCTCCTGGGCATGCCCGGCTCTGTGCGCTCGGGTAGCTACTGCCACGGCTCGCCCCCGTTCCTTCTCCGAAGACCGCAAGAGCCTGGTTTCACTTTTCCCCTCCGAAGTACTGTGCACCGTCACCCAACAGCAGTCCTGAAGGCTGACGTGTCCTTAACAAGTGCTTCCCGGCCCAGTAGCGCCATGCGTTAGTCCCTTTCCTGAAATAGAAGCCCGCTCTTGAACTCTATCGAGCCAAGGCAGCGAGTCTCGCCCCCCCTTTCCTACCAGGGCCTAGTTCATCCCCCAATCCTGAACACTCGAGGCTCCCATGGGGACTCCTATAGTCCTCATCTAAGCTTACCGGAAAACTCGGCGTCCACGCTCCTCGCCCGGCTCAGCTCTCGTCTAACAGGAAATGGGGGAAAGAAGCGGAAGTAGGAAGCGAGCCTTGAGCTACAGGGCCACGGACCAATAGGCAGCAGGCAGCGACGCCCCGGCACCTCCGCAGGCGTCGTGGAAGCGCCAACCAACGGCTCAAGGGGCGGGTCGGAGGGGTGTGGGCCTGAGGCCCGCGGCGTTCCGCGGGCCAGTCTTCGGTTGTCAGAGCAGTCGCCGCTGGAGTGGGGCGCGGTTTCGTTGCTGGGTCTTGGCTGGCTGGGGCCCGCATAAGGATGAGAGCTCAGAAGACCCAGGGTCGCTGGAGGCTCAGGTAACGAAGCTGGAGTGCGGTGGGGCCGCGGCGGGGCTTTTTCGGGGACTCGTATTGAATGGAGAGGACTGAGGCGACACTGAGCTCCGGCCCCTAGCGGCGGGGCCGCTGCTCGAGCTGCAGCTGCCAGGCGAGGATGTGTGGCGCCCAGGCGGCCCGGGGAAGCTGAGAGCCTTCGGGCCCCAGGACCCCTGGGGCCCGGGATGAGTTAGCGAGGGCAGCGGCGGGGGCCAGTTCCGACTGCTACAGGCCAACGCGACGATCGCCTCCTGCCCGCCCCTTCCGTGCAGAAGCCGCTAGGTCCATTCCGCGCCGCCTGTCCGCTCTCCTGGCCCTGGAGACCATGAGGTTCCGCGTCTACAAGCGGAAGGTGCTGATCCTGACGCTCGTGGTGGCCGCCTGTGGCTTCGTCCTCTGGAGCAGCAATGGGCGACAAAGAAAGAGCGAGGCCCTCGCCCCGCCGCTGCTGGACACCGAGCCCGCTCGGGGTGCGGGTGGCCGAGGCGGGGACCATCCCGCCGTGTCCATGGGCATCCGCCGGGTCTCCAACGAGTCGGCGGCCCCGCTGGTCGCAGCGGCCCCGCAGCCCGAGGCAGACAACCTGACGCTGAGGTACCGGTCCCTGGTATACCAGCTTAACTTTGACCAGACGCTGAGGAATGTTGATAAGGCTGGCTCTTGGGCCCCCCGAGAGTTAGTGCTGGTGGTCCAGGTGCATAACCGGCCCGATTACCTCAAACTGCTGGTGGACTCGCTTCGAAAAGCCCAGGGCATTGACAACGTCCTCGTCATCTTTAGCCATGACTTCTGGTCGACAGAGATCAATCAGCTGATCGCGGGAGTGGATTTCTGCCCTGTTCTGCAGGTGTTCTTTCCTTTCAGCATTCAGTTGTACCCCAACGAGTTTCCGGGCAGTGACCCCAGAGATTGCCCCAGAGATTTGGAGAAGAATGCAGCTTTGAAGATGGGATGCATTAATGCTGAGTATCCTGACTCCTTTGGCCATTATAGGGAGGCCAAGTTCTCCCAAACCAAACACCACTGGTGGTGGAAGCTGCATTTTGTATGGGAAAGGGTCAAAGTTCTTCGAGACTATGCTGGCCTCATACTTTTCCTAGAGGAGGATCACTACTTAGCCCCAGACTTTTACCATGTTTTCAAAAAGATGTGGAAATTAAAGCAGGAAGAGTGTCCCGAGTGTGATGTTCTCTCCCTGGGAACCTATACTGCCAGTAGAAGTTTCTCTGGAATTGCTGACAAGGTAGATGTGAAAACTTGGAAATCCACAGAGCACAATATGGGTCTAGCTTTGACCCGGGATGCATATCAGAAGCTGATCGACTGCACAGATGCTTTCTGTACTTATGATGATTATAACTGGGACTGGACTCTTCAGTATTTGACTGTATCTTGTCTTCCAAAATTCTGGAAAGTGCTGGTTCCTCAGGTACCTAGGATTTTTCATGCTGGAGACTGTGGTATGCACCACAAGAAAACCTGTAAACCATCCATCCAGAGTGCCCAAATTGAGTCACTCTTAAATAGTAACAAACAGTACATGTTTCCAGAAACTCTAACTATCAGTGAGAAGTTTATGGCAGTCCTTTCCCCACCTAGGAAAAATGGAGGGTGGGGAGATATTAGAGACCATGAACTCTGTAAAAGTTATAGAAGACTGCAGTGAAAAATTACAATTACAAAAGTAAAAGTGACAGTCTTCTATTTTGATATTTGTCCCAACAGGACAGACAATTGAATAAAAGAGTTTAGGGACTGGTTTCTGCTTTAATACAAAAAAAATTGTAAAAGGTGTCCAAATATAGTAATCTTTTCCTTTTATGTCTGATTAAGATTTAAAACACAAGTTTTCATTTTGGGAGTTGGGTTTTAAATTTCAGACTGTATCTGCTAAAGGTAATCATTACTGTGAGAGAAGAGGGGAAATTTTATTTAAATTGCATCTATTAATCTTTTTACCTGGAACTTTGTACACTTTTCCACTTTCAAAACTTATTTTAAGTACAGCAAAATTTATTTAAAATTGTCATAGCAGTAAGAAGTATTACAATGAAATTGTTAAGTATTACTAGAACAAGCCCAGTTTCACTCTCCACACAGTTATTAGGAAGAGATTGCTTCACTGGTTTTATAATTCAAAAGTTATGTTGTTAAACACCCTGTCAAAACAGTCAATTTCAGTATTACAGATTCCTGTATTATTGTGTTAAGATTTGCCTGTGCTTTGGAACCTTCATAGAACACATTTTCTTTCGGAATGTATTTGATTAGTAAGAAAATTTTAACACTGATTTCACCTCAATGTAGAAAAACAGTGGTTTTGTTTCCTTTTTTCTTTTAGTGCTGCCAAAATAAAATACTCATTTTTGCATAAAAAAGTTCCTAATCATTTTGCAGAATAAATTTTGCTTACTCTTTACACCAAATTTCAGTAAAGACATTCTAGAAGTTTTAAAGTTAGCATTACATCTTCATATTTACTATTAGTGCATTATATAACTGAGTTTGAAATAAAGAAAACCCAGCTCTTGACAATGCATTCCCTTTGGAAGAAACTAGCCAGGCATAGATAATGAACAATAAAAAGCTGCTGTGCAAGTGAAATACAGTCATGCCAAAGTAAAACATGTTCTAGTGCCAGCTTTAACTGAAATCATACTTTTTAAAAGGATAGCTAAAGCTCGGCTGGCGTGGCTCAGTAGTTGAGCATCAACCTATGATCCAGGAGACCGTGGCTTGATTCCTGGGCAAGGCACATGCCTGGGTTTCGGGCTCGATTCCCAGCACCGGGCGTGCAGGAGGCAGCCCATCAATAACTCTCTCATCATTGCTGTTTTTGTCTCTCTCCCTCTCCCTTCCTCTCTCTGAAATCAAAGACATGTTTTTTAAAAAATAAAAGGATAAATAATATGAATCAGACTTAAAATTTACTCCATTTAACGTAGAAGTTTCCTTTAACAGTATACAATTCCATTCAACCAAAAATTACTCATAGACTCATTTCTGTGTAGATACTACAATTAGTCATTTCAGTCTAAGAAAACTGTGTATTAAGTGGACGGTTTCAAAATTATTGCATCAAATTAAGATTCATATTATGGTTGAAAAATGCATTTGGTCATCTAAGATGGGGCAAATAGTTCTCTTGTTTTATGAGCTAGCTACATTTATACTGTCCTCAACTCAGTCTCTTTCCAGACTTTATCAGAATTATAAATGTAAATCATGATGAATTGCCAGGCTTTTGATGCCCTGATCTGACCTCCCCAGTTCAAAGGACTAAAGATATTAGGTAATTTCCAGGAGTGGTAAGGCCAGAGGTTTGAATTGGTAGCTGTTTTTGGAACAAATGCATCAGCTCATGGCCTTTGGGGTCAAATATTAGGTCAACAGATATTTTCCTTTCTATATTTTTTTCATGCTGTCCTAAACATTTTTGTGAAAAAAATCTATTAGCATTTTCTTCTGACCTCAAATACAAATACTATTCCACAAAATTAATAACTTAGCCACAGATACATTACCTGTGGAAAGGAAATTGATTAGAAAACACTTTTTTTTGTTGTCTTCATGTAATATAATGACGATAATTTTCCTGTGGGAGCAAATTCCCAGATTTTTTTGTCCTATTCTAAATTCATAAGTGTACTTTATAAAACCGAGAGGTGTTTTGATATGTAACAGTAACTTCTAAAAAACTCTTCAAAAATATTAAATTTTCAAAGTCATTACTAAATAACCTGCATTTTATATTTATATATATACATAAATATTTTTTCTGTGACAGATGAGAACACTAAAATACGGAGTTGAAGCAAAAATACTAAATTTCATTCCGTGTATTTGTATTATAATTGTTTGAATTGTTAACATTGGTTAGTAAAGTTCTTTCATCTCTAAGAATCTCTATTTCAAGCATAAATAAATCCTACTTAGTGAAACTTCTAAACGCAGTTTTAAGATTCTGCCTTCACCCCAACACACACAACTCATATTTCTAGTTAATTACATTCTTAAGAATTGCTTTTTGTAACAGACATAACTTAGTGAATATTTTGAAATTTTATTAAAGTGTAATGGTAAACAAAAGCCAAAAACAACACATAAGTAGATATATACAGGTTATATTAAAACTAAATGTTTAACTCTCAGAAAGGGTCTACATCTATCAGAGGAATCACAAAACTTATCTCCCCAATTAAGGAAACTATAAACTTAAAATGCAAAACATAAATATCTCCAGTTTCCCCATTAGAATCAAAATTGAGAATTTTAATCTCTAATATCTTCAGTTTTAGGAGGGTGAACAGAAAACCTATTTTAAACCCAAAATATACTTTCTTGAATATCTTTGGTTTTATTAAAATAGTAGTTAACAGAAATAGAATTTAAGTCTAAAAATTTTTTTCTCTTTACCTTTAAATTCTAGAATTATATAGAATTAATCCAACTCATATAGCAAAGAATTCTGAAAACTGAATGCACAATGAGTCACATGATCTTTAATAATCTGCACACTACCATCCTGCATATTGGTTTCTTTTATGCTGTCAAAACCAGGTATACTGTGGACTGTCAATTCTTTCTCTTCAGTCATTACTGGTTCTTTTAAATTATCTTTCTCCTCACTTGAGTAAACAGCACCTTTTTCCTTTACAAATTCAGGTTCCATTTTTGACTCAGGTTGCTGAGACTTAACAAATAACATTTGGGACACATCAAGAGACTCTTGTTTCAAGTTTTCAACTGAACCACAATTGTCTATTTCTAGTTCTTTAACTGCTATAGATGAATCAGAATCAGTTGCTGAGGTAGTAGGATGTTCTATATTTTCATTTTCAGTTAGATGACTTCCTTCGTTGACTCTTTCTTCCTTTTCATGAAGCTGCTCAGAGTTACTACATTCTTGCAACTATGTCAAGAGAAACAACAAATTAATAATTCTTTGAAGTAAATAGAAAATTAAATTGTAGTACCATCTGGGGGGAAAAATTTTTTTTTTAATTGTGAGGGAATAATCCTTGCAGACCTGCAGACAGGCTTCTTCCTCAAAGTCATCACCCAAATGCTGCCGGTCATTTATTGACAATGCAAACAATGCAAGCCTGGCATTAATTCTCTAATTAAATCCCTTCAATGACTCATCTCCCTCAGGATAAAATAATCCTGGCCTACAAACCCTTAGGCAGTTATTCTTACTAGGGCATTCTTGAATGTTCTTGAATTTCTGTGATTCTTCAAAGCCACTCTTTCCCCAATTCATAAATACCAATTGTGCTAGTTAACTAAATTATTTCTGCATTTAATACTGAAGACTAAAAATAACCAAAGATTCAACTTGAAAGAATGAACAAACTTAAGACATAGTTACCATGGTTTGAAAGTCAAAAAAACTTATTTGTCCGTGGACTAACTTCCCAAATGTCAGTTTTTCTGTTCCTCATTTGACATTTATTTTGGGATTAAATGAGATAATATATATGGAAATGAACTGCAGGGTGGTTAGGACATAGTAAAATGCATGCAAAAAAGTCTTCATTCTTCTTCCCAGCCATTATGTACATTTAGCTTAAAGTTACGTTAGGCTTTAAGAATTAAGCTATTCATTAGGCTTTAGCCTTGTCCTAAATCACTATTCTAATAAAGTACCAAAATCTTTACCTCTGCATGAATTTGAATCTTGCTATCAGTAATCTGAAGAACTTCAATTAATGGTGTGGTTAGGGGCGTTGTCTGCTGCAATGGAGAACTCAGGGTCTCTTCAAGAAATTCATTAACATTTTCTTCATTCACAAACCACCTTTCCTAAAATATAAAGAAAAAATATTCTGCTTTATAGGTCATACCTCACAGTTTTGTATAAAAACAGTTCATAAAAGTTCTCACACAAGGATTACACTTTAAAGTGTTTAATGTTATTCCTGTGCTTCCTTGGCAAAAGAAAACAGTTTTGTACACAGCAATAATGATAGCAAGAGTACATACACTATAGAAAAATACCCTAAAAGAAAAAGTTCAATTCATTTTCTAGTTCTTTTATCTCTTCTAGATAATCTTACTTGGGAATGATACTGTCTTTTCCTTTTTTTCTCTTAATATTTTATAGGAATAACATCACCTCTAGAGCTATAAATGCAGTCCAGGTATATAAGGTAATTCAATTTTAGAACACTTCCTAATGAGTCAGTTAAGAAATACACATGACAGGATCTATTCAAATTTTGTGTGAACAGTTTGCCTTTTAGTTCTTGTTCAGGTAAGAGCCAAGTGTAATATTTTATTTAAAAGAAGTATATTTTATTTTTAAGCAATGAGATAATCCAGCGTGACACCAGCATATAGCTATTTATAAGAATGAGGTAGTTTTCCAAACTATTAGGAAATGCAAAAATCACATTCACAAAAATCCCAAACACAAAACAATGTGTTTATATTCATGTCAAGTGAATACAGATATATAGTTAGGGCATTGAAAGAATAACCATATTCATAAAATAAGTTCATTGTTGCCCAAAATAAAAGTATTTACCTGTATACTCAGAAAGAGACAAATTTAAGGTTTTCTTCTATTAAACAGTGTCTGAAATTGGGAACACCTACCAAACAAGTGAACCTTGGGAACAGAGAAATTCTACTTTTGGAGTAAATTGCCTTGCTATTTTTTTGACGATCCAGAATAACGCTGTATTATAAAAGCACCCCCATCAAAAGCATTTCTAGCCCTGGCCAGTTTGGCTCAGTGGTTAGAGCGTGGGCCCACAGACCTCAGTTGCAGACCTGATCCCAGGCCTCCTGTGTGCAGGGGGCAACCAATCAATGTCTCTCTCTCACATTGATGTCCTCCTCTCCCTCCTTTCCACTCTCTGTAAAGCAGTGGAAAAAATATCTTCAGGTAAAAATTAAAAAAAAAAAAGCACTTCTAAGTTTTCTGTCTCTGGAAAAGACACATTAATTGTAAAAAAATACAGCAAATCGTTTAGTTTTTAGTTAATCCAAGGAAAAATAATATGTATCTATAATGGAAATAGTTATGATTAAAATACAATTTGCATAAAATTGTCTTCACATTCTGATGACTGATTTTACTATAAAAGATAACATATTTTACTATAAAAGGTATTCAGTGGTCCTGAAGCGTTAGGAAAATTCCCACTGACTATTTAAGGCTTTGCCCGGCCCGCATGGCTCAGTGGTTGAGCATTGACCTATGATCCAGATCTTGGTATGATTCCCGGTCAGGGCACAATGCCTGGGTTGCAGGCTCCATTCCTGGTGGGGGTTGTGCAGGAGGCAGCCCATCAATGACTCTCTCATCATTGATGTTTCTATCTCAATCTCTTCCTCTCCCTTTCTCTGAAATCAATATAAGATATATTTTTAATTTTTATTTTTTATTTAATATATATTTATTTCAGAGAGAGGAAAGGAGAGGGAGAGACAGAGATAGAAACATCAATGATGAGAGGGTCACTGATTGAGCCCGCAACCCCAGCATGTGCCCTGACCGGGAATAGAACCTTGATAGTCTGGATCCCAGGTCGATGCTCAACCGCTGAGCCACACCCAGCCGGGCTAAGATATATTTTTTAAAAGGCTTATATAAAAGTACTTTGTACTTATTTATGTGGAAAGTAACAATTCTGAACTTGACAGCCACAAGTTCAGTCTCCTTACATTGTAATTATTTTCATACAATGCATATAATATAATCATGATATATCTATCTACCCACCAACTACTCTTGTAATTTTTATTTATTGACTTTCAGAGAAAGAGGAAGGGGGGAAGAGAAAGAGAGGGAGCAACATCTGTGTGAGAGTGAAACATCGATAGGCTGCTTCCTGCATGTCCCCTGCCTGGGATCCAGCTAAAACCTGGGCATGTGCCCTGACCAGGTATCAAACCCAAAACCTTACCATGCACTGGATGACACCCAACTAACTGAACCATACCCACCAGGGCAACTCTTGTGATTTTTTAGAATTTTACTTTAATACATAGAGCCTGGTCCAGTGACAGTGAAATGTAAAGTAAAAAACATCATTATGATTCTGTCAGCCTTAGCAAATGTGATGATTAATGAAGAAATTATAAGTCTATTTCAGGCTTCAAAGATATAATCCCATTTGGGGATTATAACTTTGAATCTAACCCCAGTTGCCATAATCCTATTTTTGTCTAGTTTCTTTGCTAAAATAATGCTGACATACTAGAAAATCAGATTAAAATATATTCTTTAATATTTTCTCAACTGCTTGGTCATATTATGAGTTATTTTCACATTTATTAAGACAATTACAGGAAAATGACTGCCCTTTCCTAAATTTCCTGCTTCTAATGACATAAACAGACAGTCAATTTCCTATTTTATATTATCACAAAGTATTTTACCTAGCCCTGGCTACTTATTTTCCACTGTTGGAGGCTTTCAAATTAACCACTTCTCACAGAAGATGCTCCTCATAAAATATAAATGTAACTTAGCAAGTTTCTAGAAAAAAAACAGTGAAGAAGTGAAAATTTCTGGCAGGTTAAAGCCCACAGTCAAAAACTTATTTAGTATGTAATCTGTGCACTTTGTGTTGTTTCTGGGAATTAAACCCTTAAATATGTTAAAAGAGCTTTTAAAATTTACATGTGACACCTCAATTTTGTTTTTTAAATGGCTCCATTGATTTCAGAGCGAGGAAGGGAGAGGGGGAGGGAGAGAGAGAAACATCGGAGAGAATCACTGATCAGCTGCCTCCCGCAAAGCCCCATACTGGGAATGGAGCCCACAACCAAGGCATGCCCCCCAACGGGAAACCTAACCCGGATCTCCTGGATCACAGGTCGGTGCTCAACCCCTGAGCCACCGGGGCAGGGCTGTGACATCTCAATTTACATGATAAAAACTGCAATCAAAACCACTAATTGTTCTTTTATGAGTTTACAAAGTTCTTTAGAACTTCATATTTTAAGTAGTTTTCTTTTTCAATATTTGCCCATAGTACTGGAATATTAAATCTGAAATTCAAGAACCTCAAAAACCTAAAAAAGTATAGTAGCAACTACCACATACTGAATTATCAAAATTATAACCTAAATAAACTAGGTAATAGCCCAGTTCTAGAGTATATGGGTGCCATTCAGTTTAACGTTTATATTACACTTTGTTAAATGCCAGCCAATGTGACAAATACTAGTAGGGACTTAAAGATGATTAAAACAGATGCAAAAAAAGATGTAATTTCAATGTAACAATGCCCACCTGAGGACAACCCCACCAAGATCAGCTAAGCAACTAAAATCAAGTAGCGCTCTATGGTCGAAAGGGCAAGGAGTTTACTTAGATTGATACCTCGTTTTGAATTCGTTTCCTACACAAGAAATATGGCTAACCTACTTTTGCATCTCCAGAAGTAAGTTGTTTACTTTCCAAGGTCGGACAATGTTACTTACCAACTTAAAATAGACCCTAACAGAGTACCTCAAACCTATTTGGGTCATCAGCCCCTTTGAGAATATGATAAAGCTATAGCCCATTTCCCCAGAAGAAAGCATCCTCAACTTTCTGCATACAATCGTAGAGACTTGCGGATCCCTTGGAATCCATCTCCTCAATGGACTCCAGGGAAACAAATGCATTACGGGCAATTTTGAAGATTTGAAACTCATCCATTGGAGAGGATACATGTTTCTGTTTTCTTTTTCAATATGTATTTAATGTGCACTGACAGCTTTCAACACGCCTTACCAATTTTAAATCATTTCGAGAGAAGTTCTAATGTAAAATACTTTAGGATACACTGAGAGGATGTAATTTTAAAAAGTAGGATGAAATATTTTAAATATTAAGACTCAAGAAAGAACCGTTACCTCCAAAGAATCGTCTACACCGTAATACCACTCTCTCCAATGTCCATAGCACTCTGCAGATTTGGCCAGCTCTATTACTGCATTGTTTGAAGAAATGCTAACCACTGGTTCTTTGATACTCAGTTTATTTTCTGGAGCAAACTGCAAAAAGAAGGAATAATAAACTAAGTCTTGGGTGGAGAAGCACAATTTGTATCGGAGAGGGCTCACATCTCCTTGAAGACTTTGCGGCTGGATCCCAGGCACTTGAATCAGCAGAGTCAGGGATTCTTCATCCTGATTACACTGCAAAGGAGGACACCGAGGCCCCCCACTGTCTGTCCCGGGACCATCCATGGCTGGAACGGAAGGCTCCCTGCCCGTGTCTTCTCGGGCCACGCGGGTCTCAGGGCTGAGATCTCCGCACGCACTCCCTCTTCCTGCAGAAGACCCCTTGTCCAGGTCCCCAGACCAAACACAGGGAGAGCCTTCGCCACCGTCCCCAGGTGCGCTCCCTGTTTCCGGAATCGGTTTCTCTCCGATGCCGGTAGTGGACACCGCTTGCCTGCTGAAGTCCCATTCCTCAGGTTCAAAGACAAGCTCCTCCCGGGCGGCGTCCGGGGCGGGGATCCCGGCGTCTGCAGCCCCAGCTCGGCAGGGATCCGGGGCCTCGCACCCCGCGCAAGCCCCAGCGGGACGCGTCTCTCCGTCGCGAGCGGAAGCGCAGGCGGCGCTGTCAGTTCCGGACGCGGCGGCGGGCTCTTCCGGCGCCGCCAAGGGCTCAGGGCGAGCGGCGGGCAGCACCACGGGCAGCGTAACTACCAGCTGTCGCCGGGCCTTGTTGAACTCCGCCTTGCCTTGGCTGTCGTCCACTGGGTAGGGGAGCGAGAGCCGCAGCTGGTAGTCGGGTTTCCTCGAGTCTAGACACAGCAGCTTTCCCGTCACCTCCAGCGCTGCCTGCTGGGCTGAGCGCAGCAGCGGCAGCTCGATGGTGACCACCAGCTCCTGGGGCACGGGGCTGGGGGCCGAGTCCCGGGAACAGCGGTAGTCCTGGAGGTCCACATGGTGGCGCTGCACCACACTGTAGCGAGGCTTGGTCGGGGCGCGCTGCGGTGCCGCCTCTGGAGTGGAGGGAACCCGAGGCCCGGGGCCTGCAGAGTTTCTGGCAGCCGAGGGGCACCGGTAGGGGTAGGGAAAATCGGGGAGCGGGCTCTCCGGCTCCCCCTCGGGCCGGGCCGGGCCACCCCCGGGTAGGGGTGTGCGCAGCACCGCGGCCTCCGGAGTTCCCTTGTACTTAATCTTAAGGGTCTTTGCATTTCTGTGGTCCAGCTTCACTCCGAACTGCTGCTCCACGGCCTCAAGGGCTGTGGCGTCCAGCATCTGGAGAAAGCGTTCGTGGCGCCGGGCCAGCTCAAGCGCGTCTGGGTGGAACACCACGTCGTAGACCATGTAGCGGGCGCCGCGGGCACCCGCGTACTCGCGGCCGGGAGCCAGGCTGTACGGCAGGGACCACTGGCGACCGGCCCCTGCGCTCCCGGAGCTGGGCCGGCTGGTGGGTGCGCCTACCAGCGCGTTGCCGCACACATTCACGAAACAGCGCTGCGACCCGTCCAGGCTGGTGCGCAGCACGTGGCCAGGCTCCGGGTGCACAAATTGCACCTCCACTCCACGCTCGCGCTCCAGCGTGGTGATCTCCGCCTCGTAGCGCCGCCGGTTCTCGGGGTCCGTGAGCTCCTCTGCATACTCAGAAAACATTCGCCGGAACTCCGGGTCCTGAAAGGCGGAGGTGAGCCGCTGGACCTCCTCTCGGCTAAGGTCCAAGTCCTCCAGCGGCGACGAGGCCGCCGCCTTGGCCATGCTGCCCCTCACCCCCTAGCCCTGAGGCCAAGGGCAATCAACCCAATACCAGAGCAGGTGGGACGCTCCGTGGAGTCGCCAGCCCAGGGCGAGTGTGGTGGCGCAGATCCGTTACTGCCAGAGAATCGCGCCTTGGACAGCGCGTGCTTGTTGCTATGGCGACACCACCAACACCAGGGAGGAGGGGCAGAAATTGGAGTGGGATGGCGGAATTGCCAGAAATAGCATTAGTTTCCTCAAACCAACTAACTACCCAACAGTCTGTGTTTTACAGATTCCTGTGCCATGGCGAAGTTACTTTTGCACTAGAATAACTATCATAATAATTGTCTGAATTTTCAGAATTATGGACATACTTCACATCACTTCAGGGTACAACTGATCCTGCATCTTTCTACCCATTAACTGTGTTCCTGAAAAGGTATCAAACAGCTCATCTTTATTTATGGAAGCAATTATTTGCAAATGAATGACTTAATGAATGAGGGAATACCTTGTACCCAATCTCCACCAACAACTTTCTACCCATCGTTCATATTTAGCTCTCTGGTTCTCACAACTTGACCAACCACCTTGCAGTGTCTATTTCACTACTATTTTCAAGGCCCAAATTGTAAATTTCTTCCAAGTAATCTAATAGCTTCTGAACTTATGCCTTGATTTCATCTTTAACTTCAATTTTTCCAGTCTATTTGAAATTAAAGTGAAATTTTTTTCCTCTAATATCAGGCCTCTTCTAACATTCTCCCCGAATTTGCCATGCTCAAACCACATCTCAAATTACCATTTCATCCTTAACCATTGATTCACTTACCACATTCACATCCAATTTTCTTGTGGAAGTTTCCCTTTAATGTCATTTTTGGTTTTTTATCACTATCTTTTCCCCCAAAAGCTTGTTTTTGTTTTTTTGTTTGTTAATCCTCACCCAAGGATACTTTTTCTTTTTAGAGAGAGTGGGAGGGTGGGAGAGAGAGAGAGAGGGGAAGAGAGAAACATTGATGTGAGAGAAACACATCAGTTGGTTGCCTCCCAAATGCACCCTGTCCAGGGCCAGGAATCAAACCTGCAACCCAGATATTGAACCTGCAAGTCAGGTATGTGCCCTTGACTGGGAATTGAACCCCAGACCCCTATAGTGCACTAGCTGATGCTCTAACCACTTAGCAACACTGGCCAGGGCCCAAAAGCTAATTTTCATCAAAAGAAATGTCTTCTGTGCCAAGCTCTTTGTAATATTAGGTTACTCCTAAATTTGAAACACTCTTTGTATCTCTAACAACTTCCTGTCATTGAGATTCATTTCTGGATTATTCCAGCACCATAAACTGAAAGTAAGGGAACAGTGTTGAGTGATTACAGCCAATATGGTAAAACATGCTGCTTCAAAATAAACATGTCTTCTAAATGTAAAAACTATGGGGACTGTTTTTAAATTTCCATTGCCAAAAGATAATTATGTAATGAATATCACAGTAATATCTTGAAACAAAGGTTTTCACTATCATTAGAATAAATTCTGTGACTTGAAATTTACAGTCTGAAAATTGTCAGACATACTGTAAGGACTCTTATGGTAATAAAAACACAAGTTAGACTAAAATAATGATTCAAAATGTTAAATATCTGTTTTTCTTAAGCCCTAGCCGGTTTTTCTCAGTGGTTAGAACATCAGCCCTCAGACTGAAGGGTCTCAGGTTTGATTCCTGGTCAAGGGCACTTACCTCAGTTGTAGGCTCAAACCCTGACCCCGGTCACGGCACACGCGGGAGGCAACCAATCAATGTCTCTCTCTCACATCAATGTTTCTTCCACTCTCTCTGAAAAAAATGAACATTAGCATGGACTAGTATAGAAATAATGAAACTTCAGTTTTTAAGTGCAAATGTATAATTTGATTACATCTTTATATATATTTTCATATTTTTCTTAAAAGATTAGAAAATATTTTTCCTATAAAACTTTGCAAACTATACCATCACGTTTATTATAAGTTAATATCAAAATTTCATAAAATATAATTTAAACATTCTAAAGTTGGTAACAATTTTATTGTAACCTAGTATCAAAATTACATAAAATATATAATTAAGCAGAAAATTGATGAATTTTGTTTCTTTGGATGGTCTTCAAGAATCTCAAAAACCTTGAAGTTTGCTGAAAATAGAAAATAGAAAATGAAACATTCTGGAAATTTAAGTTATTGTACATTTCTTAATATTTAGTTCTAGTTAATTCATTTAAAAAATACATACATATTGTTCCAAAACCAAAAGGTGCAGGAAAAATACATCAGTGTCACACTGTTTCTGCTCCCTAGAAGCAACTGTATATCCTTATAAAGCTGGGGTGGGGAACCTTTATTCTGCCAAGGGCTATTTGGATATTTATAACATCATTTGAGGGACATACAAAATTATCAACTTAAAAATTAGCTATGAAAAAAGCTCCTAGATTTATTGAATTTCAAGTCCCGCCTGCATTTGCCTTGGCAGGGCCAGACCTAATGATTTCGCAGGCCATATAGGGCCCTTGGGCCAGATGTTCCCCACCCCTGTATACCCTTATAAAGATTGTCTAATCATATGTATGCATTGGGGGTGGGGTGGGGGCATACGCTATAAAAACAAATACAAGTGGTAGAATACTATGAACACTAGTCTCTACCTTTTTTCTATTACTAACAAATATATTTATAATTTTTGAAACTAATCCCTTTAATGCTTTAAAATCTAAATAAATTAGAAAACTTCTAAATAAGTATATACATTTAAATGGATATACATTTAAACTGCTTATTTTGCTAGTATAAAAACTATAATAAAAACAGTTGTACTGCCCTAGCCGGTTTGGCTCAGTGGTTAGAGAGTTGGCCCACAGATTCCATTCTGGTCAAGGACACTCGGCCCCTGTAAGAGCCCTTGTGGGAGGCAACTGATCAATGTGTCTCTCTTACATCGATGTTTCTCTTTCTTTCTCTCCCCACTCTCTAAAAATCAATGGAAAAAAATAATCTCATGTGAGGATTAACAAAACAAACAAAAAAATCAAATATATGTCAAATGAGTGAATCCAAGAATAAAACGTAGACTATCTCATAAACTGAATGGACTTCAATCATCCACGAGTAAGGAGCAGAGAGAATAATGCACAGTTTTTTTTCAAGAATTAATGGGTTCAGGGTTGGAAAGCAGAGATATCGTGGGGGTATTTTACACTTTTAAGCATTGTTTGAAATTTTTATCGTGATTGTGTTGATTTTTAAAAAAATTAATTTGTTAATTACAAAAATATATTAAAGACAATTGGGCTGTGTGTTCAAGATTATATTCTCTAACAAGAAATTGGAAGGCAGTACTTGGTTATTTACTTTTTTTTTTTAAATCCTTACCCGAGGATATGTTTCTCATTGATTTTAGAGTGAGAGGAAGGGAGCGAGGGAGAGAGACAGAAAAAAACATCTATGAGGGAGAAACATCAATCAGTTGCCTCCTGTTCCTGCCCTGACTGGTGGGTGATCGAACCTGCAACATAGGTATGTGCCCTGACCAGGAATCGAACCCACAACCTTTTGGTGTACGGGACAATGCTCCAACCAACTGAGCCACCCAGCCAGGGTTGGTTATTTGCTCTTAACAGGAAATGGGAACTTTTTAAAAATATGTTTGATTAACTGACATGTCAGGATGCCTGAATCCAAGGGATATAGTGTCAAAATGCATATTTATAGGCCGTATAATTATAGAGTGAGCCATTTGCTAAATCTGGGGTGGGATCCCAGACCTTCACATTTTAACAAGGACCCCCAGGACTGATGCAGGTGATATATAGATCGCCCTTTGAAAACTACTACCTCTCAAGTGATTATTCTCTTTTTTACCCCAAGACCTCCTTCCAACCCTAACCCCTCCCCATCACCACACTTGCACCCAGCTCCTTCCAACTTCTTTGCTACCAATTTAAGGCAGATTACCTAGGTTCTGAGAATCAACCATGTGGAGGGTAGGGCTGACCTCTCAGAATAATACAAACATCATTAGACGTCAGCCTGTGAGAAAACTGGCCCACCTCCATAGCTGGTCTGAGATTTCCCTCAGAAAACAGTGCTTGATCTATTTCATCACAAACATACCATCAAACACATACAATTCTATGTCACACAGCATGACCACAGTAACTTCAGCCTAGAACATTTCCAATGGGTCACTACAGACATTTTTTAAAAACCCAACACACCTACAGAACATCTGATCTTCAGCAATATAACACCAAGAAACAGCTCCTTCTACCTATTTCTGTGGTCATACTTACCTGTCTTCTACTGTCTTGTTTGAAGGATAAAAAACTTTGAATGAAAATCCACTTCTTGGAAAAGAGCCCTTTGGGGAGAAAAATGCCTGTAAATGAATTACTCAACTTTTATAGAAGAATTCCTGTTTTTAAAATTAAATTCCTTGGTCGTGACTTTAAAAGTCATGTGACTATAAAGTGATGAGACAGATTTATGCTTGATCTTTACAGAGAGAAGGTATTACTATCAAATATCTCCACTTGAAGCCAAAGTTGGCTAGACCGTCTTATGCTAACAGATGTGACTGGAAATGTAAGTAGGGGTGGCTCTACTTGTTATGCTAAAGATGCATATAAGACACTCAGATATTGTCAAGAAATCTTTCCTTCCCCTCTGCCCAGTGAAAATCTGGGTTTGATGCCCCTCCAATGGGTCCTCAAAGCAACTAAACTCTACTGAACTCTAGGGCAGAGACTGTCCTTTCAGTCTTCATGTCCCTGGCACTAACAATGCCATGCCCGTTGCAGGCATTCATTAATGTGAATAAGTATTAAGAAGGGATGAAGCAATGTCAAAGGCAATTCTAATTCTGTTGGGCCCAAAAGGTATAAATAAGGTAAAAAAGATGTAATTATGGTAGGGAGTGGTTTACTCAACTACAGGATGAAAAGGTGGAACAATTCAGAAATAAGGTGTTTTTCAAATAAAGCATCAAGTATGAGAATACCCAAACTGTTCAATTTAAATAAGGATATAGCCTCACTGTTAAAGAATATTGCAATGTGAATTGTCTACAAAAATCAGACAAATTTCAAACAATAAAAGCAAACCAGTTGACTATGCTTATCCTTAGAGTAGGTCTCAACCAAGGACAATTTTGTCCCCCAGGGCACGTGTCAAATATCCTCAGACATTTTTGATTGTTACAATTGGGGGCTGCTACTCGCATCCAGTGGGTTGAAGCCAGAGATCCTGCTAAACATCCTACAATGC